TTGTTGTTTTTTTACGTCACGAGAGGGAGTCGAAAACACGATGGTCACGGATCCGTCTGAGATCACTCAATCTGTCTTCGTTTAATTCATGAACATATCCTACATAAACTTGTAATGTAATGCATTTATGTGTTTGTCAATAGTCTGGTGCCAAAACTTATCATTATAAATATTAATATAATTCATATTCAATCGGTACAAAACCACTTTAATATTTGTGTTCGCTCATTGTTTCTACATATTAAGTTTGTATACAGTAAGACTATTTTATTCATGGTCACCAAAATGGGGCCATTCAAAGCCTTTCAAGTCTCCTAATGTCTGACTCAACACATGCAGATAAGGGTCCAATAATTTGCTATTGCCTGGTACATGCTAATAATCAGTTCAACATTGTGATCTGAGCATAGCGTTATACATATCGTTGGCTAATGTGGATATAGCTAACACTGGTTTCTCACCAAGACACCTGCCCGGTTCTCCTTTGACTGTTCTGTCTAATCCTGGCCTGCTCTCTTATAATTAAATTATATGGCTGAGGTCCGTCATACGAGTAAACATTTACAATTTCCTAAGTATCCGAAGTGGCATTGTGATCCATTGCTTTTCTATATTGTTTACTTTGACCACACTCCCTCCCGTTATGTCACTTCCGGTTTGGCGGTTTTCAGATGCGGAAGTAAAATTCTCTCACAAAAACAACTTTAGAATCGCTTTTTATAATATTTATTGACTCTAACCTGCAATATGCCCTTCAAAGCGATTTAACTGCTGCCTGAGAGAAGAGAGGCAGTCCCATTATCCCATGAGGGTCTGTCAAAATCCCCCAAGCCCTTCAGATTCTCTCTTTCTCTTGTCTTCGTCTCTCCCTTTCTCTTGTCTTTGAGAAGATCTTAGTGAGCATCTGGAAAAAGCCAACAGTGTCAGGGGGGCCAACCAACACTCCTTATTGGCTTACAGGGAGATACAAGGAGCCTTTGTGTTTTAAGGTGCAGGGATCTAGAGGATGTGCTGTCTTTAGCAGAGCTGTCCCAGATGGACCCTTCTTTTTTTTTTTTTGGGAGCTTTGTCTGGAAGCTTGCTCACCATTCCTATAAATGCCAATTGAACCCATGTAGAGCTCCCAGTAAATGGCAAAGATATACTTGGAGTGTATGGCTCTGATCCAAAACCAAGAAGCTACCTATAGGGAGCATTTTAAGGCAACAAGGGCACACTAAAACTGTAAAAGCGGTTTCAGAAAAATTCAAATTCACTCATATATCCTTCACAGAATAAAAGCAGCTCCATAATGCAGTGCACAGAGCTCAGTGAAAGAAATGGCATGCTGAATTATTAAAGCGCTGCATCATTAGCATAGCAGTGTTGAGTCTATTATGTGCTTCACATGAAGAGCCATTTATGTCAAGTATGATGCACAGATTTACTACCTTTTTAGAGCATTTCAAATCAGTCACACCTGTCTATGTAGTGTGAGTGTGTGTGGAGCTACTTATGAAGAAAAACCTCTAGAATGTGATTGTGTGAAAGCATAAAAGATGGATGTTGTTATTACAAGCTTTTCGTTTTAACATGTCAGTGTCTTTGTCTTTTGTGTGAGACTTTAGTTTTCCTTCTCAGTGGAAAGGAAATGATAGCTTTGGCTTCCTATAACATTGTTCATACGTGCTGGCTTGGAAATCGGGGTGCAATCAGGTGTGAATCATGTGTACATTTATCAGAATTTAGTCTCAAGTTACACACAGGAGTAAAATCAATATCCTTAGTAACAAACAAATCATTCCAGGTCCCAGGAGTTCACATTTCAAGGTTATAAATATGAATTCTAATTAATTTACGTTTAAGTAATGGACAGGTAATTGCTTGGGTGCCATATGCCGTAATAAATGGAAGGATCGCCAGGGGAAAAAGACAGGAGAGAACTAATGGAGGTTTAATTGGAGATGTTAACTGGCAGGATGTTTTCTCAGAGGTGCAAATGGAGTGTTTTATTGTGGCTCAGACCAGTACATCCTGCATGGGAGGAAAAAAAAAGATATCCAGGATATGAAGGTCCTCTCAGACATTTAACCTGCTTAGCCAAACACACCAAAACGTTAATATTTGAGATTGTGTTCACGTGCCAAGATATATTTATGCATATAATTTGATGCACAAACAAAAATAACGCTCCCTCTGCCCTGAGCTGCATGTGATATTCAACCATATGGAGCTTTTGGTAGTGTGTGGGCAGGCTGATTTGACACCAGGGCTGTGGAACACACAAGCTTGCCTTAATTGACTTATAAAACTGCCTAAAATGCTGTTTTATGGAGCCATTTTCAGACAACTCTCACGGGATTTCATATCAAGTCATAGTTTGTAATAAAATGTGTGATGGGCACGCTTTATTTTCCTGGCCAAGTTCTCATAAACTTTAATCTCTCATGATTAAAAAAAAAAAAGTTGGCTAACCAGAGAGATAAAGTGTCACTAAATATGGACTTTAAACAGCATATGGATAACGCCATTAATCCATGGTCTGCGTGTGGCAAAGACCGGCTACAGGAATAATGGAGATATAGGGTTGGGAAGTCAAACTGACAGTTGTGAGGATATAAATGACCCTGCATTCTTTGTACACTGACAGCTCTGGCTTTGGTGATACTTCTAGTAGGCCCCTGCGATTCCTGCAACTGTGGTCTTTGTTGTCACAGTCAGCTTGTGTTTCCCTCTGTGGCCGTTCCAGGGGGCTGGCCGGCCTGGGCAAACACCAAGGGAGACGTGATGTATGGCTCCCGGCCAGATCAAGCTTAGCCTCTGCAGGGTGCTCCCAGCAGTCGAGTGGAGTTGAGTCATCCCTCAGGCTGCAGGGAAACGAACAGACACACTAGCTTTGACTATGACAGGAGCTGAAGGAGGGATGTGACTTTTCACAGTCCTATCCAAACCCAGGCAGGGCTTGGACTCCAGACCAACCTGCTAAATACCAGAGCCAGGTGGACGACAGGATGGAAGAGATAAAGCCTTTGAGAAGCGTGACGCTGAATGCGGAGCGATTCACTGAAGAAAACGTATCTGTTGAGGTCAGCGGCCGCCTTAAAGGAATGGTTCATATGAGTAGTTCAGGAAATAATTCTTTCAACTGTTGTGGTGACAACTATACATGTTAAAGAGAGAGAATAAAACAGGGAAAGAAAAGAACAGAATGCATACAATAACGTAAACCATTCATGTCATGAACAGTGTTTAACATTAGGTGTTCGTTACAAGCTTCACTTCTTCAGTTTTCTTAAACGGGCTTATTATTTATATATATATGAAGAGCTAAATGTCCTTTCTCAGTGGTGAAACAGTGGAGATTGACTGGTTTACATGGTCAGTCGCTCTTGGGAGTCAATAAGTGTGGTGTGTGCATATATACACTCTAAAAAATGCTGGGTTGTTTTAACCCAACTTTGGGTCAAATATGGACTAACCCAGCCGTTGGGTTAAATTTTTACATTACATTTTTAACCCAACATTTCGGGTTTGTCCATATTTGACCCAAAATTGGGTTAAAACAACCAGCATTTTTTAGAGCGTATAATTATTTTTTATACAGTGCCTCAGGGGTTTGTTCTTGGTCCCGGTATGTTGTGCCACACCCTTATCAGTCATACTGTCATTTTTTGCCAGTGATGTATTCACTTTACACTCAACGTTATGAATTGCCCGTCTATCAAAATGCTTTATTTGCTAAAGAAGAAGTCTGATGCGTAATTCACATTTTATAACGAGTCATAGTAGAGCTCACCTGGCCAATTTAATGAGGGATGGATCCAGCTCTGTAGCCCGTGGCCATGTCAAGGAAACACAAATTGATTGCACTGATTATACAGAGCATATTACATTTGACAGTAAAAACAGTGATTTTGGAAGAACTCTGTGTGAGAGGCTAAAGGTAATGTACTGACAGCTAAGATGATGGAAGTAAATAGATGTCAAGATGGATTACACAGTTCCCTAAAGCCTTTTTGTCACATGCAAATGTTCATACAAACCATCTCTGAATTGCATATGCATTTATTTGTGTTCTGTATGAATGAGATGAAAGGTTAGAGTGAGGTTTCTTTGTATTTGATGCACATTAATTGCTTAGGCCTATAGACAGAGTAGGCATGATTGCAAATTCAACACCGGAAGTGAAAAGTGATATAACATATGATATACCGGTGTGAAAATGTCCTCACTGTGAGCCTGTACCATGCACAGGGGGGAAAAAAATCCAATAAAAAATAAACAGCAAAAAGTCATACATTCCTCAATTGCCATATCTGAGATCTTATTTTTGACTACTTTTACTTTTATGAATATGTTTAAGCGAGGGAAAGAAAGCCAAGTATTGATCTGTGATTCTCTATTCCTCCATCCCCAAATAGTCTTAAAGCAAAAAGCACTTTTAGTCTCCCTGGACTTCTAACTTTTTTTATCGTGTCAGCTGCTGAAATTGCGCAGTTGAAAAGCACAGGATGCACAGATTTTCAGACCAGAGAAATTATAATTTTCTGCCAAACTCTCAGCTGCTTATAGTCTGTCCACAGCCAAAACACTCCTAGCCAAAGTAAACCTGAATATAAGGAATGTCTGGAGAACCCAAAAAAAGGTCATACACAATTTAAAGTATGTTAACTGAATATTTTATGAAGTGGTATCTTTTGTTTACACTTTCAGGTTTTAAATTGCAATTCTTGTTGATACATGTGAATGAGATGTAGATCTGCTATGCATAAACTAATGCAATTCTGCCCTCTTCAGGTGGGAAGTGAAATTGCTTGTCTCAGTTTATATCCCAATGCTACTAAATCAAAATTTTACCACCTGAGTCATATGCAATTGCAGTTCACATTTACTTATGATTGAATTTTATAGTACTTTTGTTAACGTTATTTCTCTGTAGCATTAATTAAAGCAATACATTACCTAATGTGAAATTTAAAAGTGAGAATAAAATTGTATTGTCCTTTCTCTTCTATTTTCAGATCACAAAAATGACATGAACATCCCATCATCAGGGAAATGAAGAAATAAGAGAGAGGGAATCCTGTACATCAAGCTTCTGTTCCTGCAGGTCTGTTGATTCTGACTGAAACACAATGTGTCCATGTCACAGCCTGTGCAGATAAGGACCAGGGTGCTGAACTAGCCACATTGGCATCATGACTGAAGAGACGAAACAGTCCTTGGCGGGCAAAGAGCTGGATAATGAGTCCAAAAAACAGGATAAGAGGGCTGTGGAGCACAAAAGCTTAATAGAGTCCCCTGAGCACTTTCAAAATGGGAGTCTGGAGCCACAGGCTGTGAACAGTATTGCTAAGTTTGCAGAAAAAGAGAGGGACAATACGCAGCAACGCGAGGCTGTGATTCGCCCACAGCAGGCTGGAAAGATTGATTTTAAGTCACTGCAGAATCATTCGTTCAATAGCAACAGGACATGGCCCAGCGGCAAGGACGGCCCTCAGTCGCCAAGTGGAAAGAGTCGCAACAGAGACAAGAGTAGAAAGCCAGGGAAAGAGCGTGGCAACCCACAGCAGTTGTACAGATTGAGTATTACTAATCCACGCTCAAATCCCACAATTGGGATAGCCTATCCCCAGCAGAAAATCTCACCTCCAAAGAAGCTCGAGTCCAACAGAGGTCCTGTCTCAGGCAGCTACCGCTTCCATGTGCCAAGTATTCCAGAGCGAGAGGCCGAACTGCAACAGGAAGAACTACAGTTCAGGTGCTTCCATGAGGGCTCACCTAACCTTACTTCCCAAAGTTATACCTCACAGGCTGTTGGTGCCACCTCTGTAGGACCTGCTCACCAGAATCCACCATCTACGCCGCAAAAGAAGCCAAGCCCAATTGAGAGCAACAGTACACAACCTGCCAATGAAACTTTATTCCCTGACTTTCAGCTGAGTAAAACGGACGCGTGGCAGTCTCCAGATAGGACTTTCAGAAGCACAAATAATTTTTCCCTTACTTCACAAAAGCCAAACAACCTTGTGGACTTGAACAAGACCAATGGAAGTTTTATGCCGATGCCGTTTCAGTATGGATACCCATTGTTAGAGGAGTCATCCTCTGATTCCTTTCCCAGTGATCGGAATACACAGCCTCAAGACTACAATGATATTTCTCTTGCTTCTAACCAGGTTTCCCATAATTCGTTCTCCTATCCATCCTCTTCAGAGGGCCATGAGGCCATGCAAACTAGTGCCCAGTTTGGTAATGACCAGGCAGAGGACAGGCAATCATACCAGTTACATCATAAACCACCCCAGTACATGCAGACACCACATGGTATGTCATCTTCCGTTCCCAGCAATGACGAGAGCTCAGCATCAAGTACTCGGCTAACAGAGAGTGTTTCAGATAAATCTGAGTCTTTTAGTCCATTAGACAGCAGTGACACAGGTTTCGCAGTAGTGGGCAAGAGAGGCTGCCATCTTAAAAATGGCACTCCCAGCCAAAGAGTTCTTATTCAAGGCAGTGTTCATCATATAAGAAATATTGCACAAGGTTCAAGTTCACAAGTACATGTAATTAGCCCCCCACATAATGGTGTTCACATCAGCCCAGGGCCTCTTGACAAAAGTGCCAGTAAACACCACGGCAAGGTATCACACCCCTGGGAGGGCACAAACAAAACCTTTCCACCACCACTCATAGACCAGACCTCCACGCCTTACCCCTTTCAGTACCAATCTGCACCAGAACAAAGACAAAACACTGGCATTAATGGCCGAATGCCTTGGCAGCAGATACGCTTCACAACTGCAGTGCCAAACCAAAATAGGATTGATCTCTCCAGGCAGTTGAGCAATCAGCAGCTTACTTTTTTGATAGGCCAATCCGACTGGCACGATGACAATAAGCCACACAAAAACATCAACCATAAAGATTCAAACAACTTTCTCAACAAAAAGAAAAACAATGCGTTCTCAAACCAAAAGCAGGACAGCGTCAAGCAAGGCTGCAACACAATTCCACCGAGTCATTTTACAAATAAGCTGGATACAAATCAAGGCCTGGTGGGTGATGCCAATAGTAAGTCATTATACTTTGGTATTAACCACCCAGTGCCAGTGGCATCAAGAAACTTTAGCTACCATCCATTACATGTAGCATCCTTAGGGATGAAGATGGTGTCACCATATGACTCTCCTTCACGTTCACCCACTCAAAATCCAGCATCCAGCAGTACGTGTTCATCACTCTCTCCAGCCTCTACAAACTCTATCAACAGTAACTCTGATGACTGCCAAATTTCAAAGGTTCTGTCCCCTCAGTTTTTTCAGCAGCAAGAGGATAAAGTATTGATATCATCTAATAACATGAACAGTAACCAGCATCTCTACCATTCAGAAGCTTCCAGAGACTTGCACTATAAACAAGAAAGAGCCAAAGAAAACACGGCAAGTTTCATGGCACACAACAGGCATTCAAAGTCCAACATGGACAATGGAAAAGGTTGTTTGGAGACCTACAGAACAGAAAACCACCCCCCACCTCCATACTCTGCCCACCAACTCGCCACATCATTAGTCTCGGCAAACCTTGACCAACTGGATGTGCTTCTGACATGCAAGCAATGTGATCAGAATTTTAATAACCTTGTCTCTTTTCTTGACCATAAGCAATACTGTGGACAGCATACATTTGCACAAAATGACTTAAAAGATGTGCCAAAGGTGGAAGAAATAAGGAAGTTTCAGGCGAACCACACAAAAGCCATGTCGTCTGGATCCAGTTATGCAATTTTGCGAAGTTCTTCAGATTTGCATCTGTCTCTGCTTGGACTGAACAAGAATGGGGAAATAGTGCCAGATAATGAAAATAAAGGAGACATAAAAGATGATTCAATGAAACTGATGCTACCATCTGCACCCTTGCCAGATTTAGAAATGGAAGATCCCAAATTGGACAGCCTTATCACAGAGGCTTTGAATGGACTAGGCTATCAGTCAGACAATGCAGAGATTGATAGCAGCTTTATTGATGCATTTGTTGATGATGACCTCACCACTACTAAATGTACATCAACCAGACAGGCTTTGACTACCAAAGACTCCACAATATTTGAAGGTAGAACTAACAATGAATCAACGTCTAGTGAGAGATCTCAAGCTCATTGCAAATATCCTTTTGACTCAGACGGCCTTAGTTTAGACAGCAAACACGCAGATATACCTTACAAAGAAAGCCAACACGAGTTGATACAAAAGGAAGGCCTCAAAGCAGAAGTCTCTCCAACAGAGTCCCAGCCACAGGACTCAAATTGCACACAAATGGAGTGGGAAGCAAGAAAGTCAGAACAAACAGAACACAAAAATGATTACAGTTCTAAGTTTCTTTTATCAAGCAATTTTTCTGCAAGATGTGGGCTTAAAAGCCTGCAAAGCAGCACAGCTTTAGTTAAAACAACATGTCCCAGATCCACCTGTGCCAACAAAAGTCCAATGGCTCAGAAACCAATTGCAACAGAAGGAAAAAGGAAAAGGACAGGTGGAAGCTGGAGTAAAGCGCTTATTCACAAAATTGTTCAACAAAAGAACAAGTTGCACAAACTCCATGTAAAGGGCACTAAAAACATGCAGTTTTCACTTGTGATGGAGAGAGTGACTCCCGCAGTGCAGAACCCTACTTTCAGGGAATATGATTACGTTTCTGACTCAGATGACGACTGTGAGCCTGTAAAGATAGCCAGTCAGGGACGTCTCAGCCAGAGCATTCGCTGCAAGTACACGTACACTAAGGAGTGTAAGGAGAGGATTTGTGCTGACAAGAGCCGGGAAAGTTCATGGAAACAAAGCAAAAATGAGTCCTTTGATCCCAAGAAAGATTTTGATGTCTCTCCATCCTTGGTGAAAGACAACCCTGGTCGCAAAAGGCTACGAAGACGGAGCAGTAGGTCTTCCACAAGCAGTGAACTCAGCACATCAATCAGTATTTGTAGCGATAGCATTGGTAGCCCAAAAAGTATTGATCATACAGATTCAGACTCTGAGAAAAGAACAGAGGTACAGAGGAAAGATCAAGACACGCTTGAGCAGAATGTGTACAAGGAATCCCCACCAAGGATACGGAAAGAGTCTAGCACATCACTTGCTTTGACCTTCACAAAAAACACAAAAAGGTACAGCACTGATAAGATACTACTCACTGAGCAAAAGGACCAATTCACTACTTCAAAATGTTCAAGCATTATCTGTAAGACTGAAGAGACTGCATCTGAGCGTACAATGACTAAAAGTACTGTCAGCCTCGCAAGATTCAAAACCACCAGAGTGGAAATAGAGGGAAAAGAGGACCACTATGGTTTTGAGGCAGGAATTCTTGCAACCACGGAAGAGCCATTCAAAAAAGATTACCCAAAAAATGTCACATCACCGAAAGGGTCAGGCATGACACTGAGTCCAATGGAAACGACAAACAGTAAAGATTCTAGCCATTTTTTTACGCTCACAAAAGATGGAGTTGCATCAAAGGGTAAATCCCACAAGAGAACAAACAGTTCTGAATTTTCAGTACCCATTTTTGAGAAAGCCATCAATAACAACACACCAAGTGAAGAAGCCGACCAAAACTCAAATTATCTGTTCTCTGAACCCCCACCTTTTTGCACTTCACTTGTGGACAAAGATTGCTTATCGCCTTCAAAAGTCCATGATGCAGCTCAAAAGGATGTGCAATGTCTCATTCCCTATCCTTCGGAACATGATCAAAGTCTTATAAAATCACCTCTTTCTTTTGACACAACGTCAATGTTTGGCGACCTTTCTGTGGGAGGTTTTGAGAACAATCTTTATCCAGAAATTCAGCTTGTAAAAGAGAGCTTCAGTCCTCTGGAAACCACAACAGATAAGAAGGAACTTTTCGAGTCGTCATTCTCAGAACAGAGAGACTGGAATCAGATGGTTAATGTTAGTCCTGTGCTACCTGATGAGATTTCTCAGTACAAAGAATACTCGGACTCAAATGAGAATAAGACCAATTTTAACTATGTCCCATTTCCTTTGTCAGAGAAATTAACGGACTACGCTCCTAGTCTCAGCAACGTGTCTGTTGATGATCTGGAGATAAAAAGAATTGTTACAGAGCTTGAGAGTCAGCTGCAAACAGCCAAGCTCAGCAGCCCACCACCATTAGACAGTGAGCTAACAAAACAGCTTACCATGAGCAAATTCTCTCCACTGAGACTTGACCCTGAAAGTGAAGATGAGGGCAGTAGTTTGCAGATAAACTGTTCCTCGGAGAACCTGGATATTGCCAGACCAGTAGACCCAAATTCAGCACTGTTCTCAGAACCTGACTTACCATGGTCTAGTCCACTCTCATTTGGATTGATGTGTGGACAGCAAGGTCTTCATACACCAACACATTCATCTACTATTAACACGCCAACTGATTCAGGACATGAACATTTGGATATAAAGGGCAGCATGGTGCTCACTGATTTGAACACAGAAAACAGTTCACCTCTGCACCAAGACGACAAAACAGAAAATAATGAGTGCTTGGACAAGTCAGAAGAGATGCTTGAACATGAAATCTACACAGAAAATCTGATGAAGAGCCTGGAAGTAATTTCAGATTCTTTGTCTTCAGGTTTTACTTCACCCCAGTCATCTCCTAATCAAGAGTGTGTGGTTCCTGAGGAACATGAAAAACAAGACAATGAATACGCAGAACACATTGAGTCTGAATATGTAGAATTTAGAAACACAGAAGCAGAGCTCACAAAGTTCTCAGTGGAGACAAATGCCTTTTCAGATAAACTAGAAGAGAAAACCAGTGGCATTTCAGAGTCAGAAAATGAAACCAAAGCCTGTCTAAATGAGACTAGTAATGACACACTTCATAATGAAGATTTAATAGCTAGTGAACAACAGCTTGCTGAGAGTCCACAAACTGGATGCTGTGTGAACTCAAATGCAATTGACTCAGTTGAGTCTTCACTCTCCAGATGTGAACACAACCATGAGTCATCTGTCAGCCAAACCGAGAATGCTGAGTGTGATACACAGTTTGACTTAAAAGACTCATTGTATATCACCAATAGTCCCGACTTCTCCAAAATTTCACACTTTTCAACATACCCAGCCATTCCAAAAGACAAAAACATGCTGTGTGTTGATGATGATTCAGCTGTAATTGCACAGCCAGAACTAATTTCTAAAGGCAACAGGCAGGCATCTGACAAAACAGGTGGAACAACAGACTGTCCTTCTGACACAAACATCCAACCACCCCTTTCAAACATCAAGTCTCCTCTTGGTCAAGCCAATTTGTCAACCCACTCACAATTAAATAATACAGAAAGGGTGGCTTCTTCTAAACATCTTCCTGTAGTTCAAGATGAACAAGACTGTACAGAGAGTGTAGAGAGAGCCATGCCTGATACGACATTTCCCGTGCAATCAGAATGTGAAGAGAATCAACAGAAGAACATCGAGCAATGTACTCAACTTTATACTGTGACTCAAGCACCACAGTTTTCTCACAACTCTATTCAAAGTTCACTACCAGGCACAGTTACCCCTGCACTGAGCGAAAACAGACAAGACCTGGAAGACGACAACTTGGATCAAAAAAATATTGGCGGGTCAGTCGATACTTCAGCAACACCAGAACTAGATACTTCATTTGTTCCCCATCAGGATTTAGTAAAATTCACAGAGAGTAAAATTTCTAGCTCTGGAACACTGTTGGCTGTTGATGACATCATCTCAAAACAAATTTTTGATGAGACTTCTCTGCATTCTAGGCCATTGGATGGCTCTCATGATACAGGTGCACTGTATGATTTGAAACTCAGCCCCCTGAATTACAGTGAAACATGCTTCAATGACTACAACTTCACCGCTAAATGTTTAAGCAAAGGAAATGACCAGTCTGATGTAAAATCAAACTCCACAGACAATTACATTCTCAATGCCTGTGCTTTCGCTCTTGATAAACCTTTGTCATCCAGCCTACCGTATAATGCAAATGAACCAGAGCCAAATATCCAGGGCCACCTGATTGGACTTGATATAGTCGAAAACTCAATAAACGAAAACATCCAAAATGATATTAAATATTCAAACGTATCAGCTTCCTCCAGTAATTATCTTGAGGATGTCACTACAATTGACTCTGAGCAAGTCTCAAACCTTAACCAGAGTTACATGAATGGTACTCATGAAACTGCTGATTACATGGATCTGCAACTCACACTTCTCAAGAAAGTCGATTCTGAGAAGATAGACAATCAGATGATCACCAATGAGCATGATCCAATGCAGAGGTCCACCATGTTAGATGTTAAGGAGACATCGAAACCTCTGATAACTTGTAAAAAAGCAGTATCTGTGGGCCTTGCATGCACATCTGTCCAAAATGAAGGACAGAGTCTAAGGTCAAGTGAGACAAAATCCTCACCTAAAAAGAGTGGTACACAGAATGCAATTCATGGAAAAATTCAGTGTGAAATATGTGCAATGTTCTTTCGTACACATCCTGGACTTAAAAGACACAAAGCCATGAAGCATGTCGTAAAGACTGAAGGGATTTCGCCCATTGAACATGTAAATATGAGTAGTCAAGTGTCTAAGACCATTTATAATGCGTCACACCCAACAGAAAAAGCACTGAAAGATAGCATGGATGTTATGGGTTCACATTTAAACAGAAATGAAATCTCAGATGGACAAGGACAGAAAACAGATGCACATATGATCTTCGAAGTGATTCCAAGTGATTCTGATATGCCAAAGATACCAGGAAGTGGTGACACTGATCAGACAACTCTTGTTAATGAAAGTACAAACAACGGTCTCAATACCATGGACACACGCAGTGAAATGTTTTCCCCAAAATTGGTAAAGCAAGACACTTTTTCAGATGAAATACTCAGTACTCTTAAAACAGATATTTTGCAGGCTATATCTCTAGATTCCCCCTCAATGGTGCAACAAAACTCTCCTAAGTCACCCGAAAAACAGATTCCCAGTAGCAGTCACAGCTATCATGAAGTCAATGTGAGAGAGGAAATGAAGAGCATGGTAACTATCAGCACTGAGGAGCAAAAGGAAGAAACGATTTCTACCACAGAGACTTCTAATTTGCATAAGAAAGGTGACACATATGACATTGACGATGACGTGAAGTATTGTGAAAACCCCAAATATGTTCAGAAAGAAGATATCCACTTTCCACTTGGGGATTCTTCTGTGGATATTAAGCGTGAGAAGACCTCTTCTCCAACAGAAGACAGTCACATGCTTACTGGTACTTTAGGAATGGGACCTGATCTTAAGGCTTTGTTTGATGATGAAAATACTTTTTCTCAATTATTCCCAAGAAATGATGACAGGAAAAGAAAAAAATGTGCAAGGGTCTATGGTAAAAGCAACAAAAAGCAAAAACAACTGTCCTGTTTAGTTTTAGACTGTCCTCCCACAGGTGCCTTTATTGACAAGTATGCAGAGCCTAAAGAAAACAAGTTGGGACACACGTTCACCAACGGCACAAATGACCCTTGTGAATATGAAACCATATCAGTCGACAATGATGACACGCATGTGACGACTCCCAAAAGCTTAGTCAACGGCTCTATAGAGAGCGCTTGTCATTCGAAAGATGCCCTAATGGATCACCAGGCTGGTAACGAGAAAAATGCAGAAACTGGCATTACAGATTTCTTATGTGAGAATGAGGGCACAGTTAGACAATCCTTAGAGCACCAGGATGATTCACATGATCTCACTGTGCCAGAAAATACAGTGTCATCAGTTCCTCAGGAAGATTGTAAACCAGAGGCTCCTGATACAGCTTGCCCTCTCCAACTAGTCTGTGTTCAAGACAATGCCTCTTGTTCTCCAAGCATTGAGATACCAAACCATGACTCTACAATTCAGATTCCTGTACCCTTTTTTGAGCCTGAGAAAGATATTCCTTTGGTTGCGACAATTGCGAGCACAGAACTGAAAGACCCTGTAAGACCTTGCAAAAAGCCTATGGAGCGGAAATGTAGGAAACGCGTAGAACCGGGACTCAAACCAAAGGATAAGCAGTACAAATGCAAGGTGTGTTTCACATGGTTTCTCACCTTAGGTGAGCTCGACTTTCACAAGCTCTCACACAATCCATCACCTCCCCCAACTTGCTATATGTGTGTCCAGCGCAAGTTTACCTCCCGGGAACAGCTTAGGGACCATCTCAGGGAGAAACACGCCAAGAACAAAGCAGGTGTTTGGACTTGTGGGATGTGTTTGAAAGAAATTTCAGATGTGTGGATGTACAATGAACACTTGCGTGAGCATGCCACACAGTTTGCACGAAGAGGGCAGTCTCAGAGTTCCCTCTTGGACATGCCTGGGTGTTTCATGCAAGAAAATGCTGTGAAGAACTTCATATCTTCAATAATGCAGCATCGGCACAGCAAACCTGCAAGAGACAATGTTAAACCATCATCTAAGGAAGAGAGAAGAACATCATCTTTTGATGTTAATGGACAAGACCCAAAGGTTCCAGAGGAGTCCTCCACAATTCTGAAGACTAAAACAAGTATTGGGGGAGGAAATAAGCACTGCGCACTGACAACGCTTGAGGTTCTACCTAAAGCAGAGACTTCTAAAAATGCTGAGATGCACCCTAACTGCAAGGACCCTTCAAGGGACTGTCACCACTGTGGCAAGCAGTTTCCAAAGCCTTTCAAGCTCCAGCGCCATTTAGTGGTCCACAGCTTGCAAAAGATTTATCTTTGCCACAAATGCCCAGTATCCTACCAAGAGGCAAAAGAGCTTAAAGACCACCTTAAAAATGAACATGACGAGACGGATGAGCCAGACTCAAAGCACACCACACTATACACTTGTGAACTCTGTGCTGATGTCATGCACGTAATCAAGAAGTCGTTCATCTGCAGTACCTGCAACTACACTTTTTCAAAAAAGGAACAGTTTGATCGTCACATGGAGAAACACCTAACTGGAGGGAACAAGATCTTCAAGTTCAGAGGAGTTGTGAGACCTTGCAAGCCTTTTAATTCAAAAGATGATAAATCTGACACACCACCAAGCAAAAAAAGGAAAGTAACAGAGAGCAGCTTAGACGTCACAGTTTCACATATGCAAGGCATCAAATCACTGTTGCCCATCATAGATGACACTGTAAAGAACAGTACTGAGGAACATTCAACGCAAACAAACAATACCAGTGTGAAAATTGAAGATGAGGCTGAGGACTTCCCTGCCAGGGATATTATTGAGTGTATAGTGCAAACAGACTCTCCGGAACAGAGTCCTCCATCAACGGAGCCGAAGGAAGAAACTGAAAGCTCTTCTCCATCTTACGAAATGCAAGCAGATGAGTCCGGGGACGTCATTGCAACAGACAAAGGAGCTCTGGCAGAGATTTGTGATGTTAAAATAGAAGATGACTGTTGCACCATTCCAACAATCATAGTTTCCGAGATTACCAAACTTAACGAAGACTCGGTAGAGACAAACCCTTCATCGTGTCTTGAAAATGCAAGTGAACAAGGGGAAATAAGGCACTCAAGTCAATGCACCTTTCAAGTGTGTGGTCAAACGGACATAAATATACCAAAACAAGGCATGCAAGGGTCGTGTAATGACTTTGAACTCTCATCTGCGACGCAGGAGCAAAATAAACAAGATTTCCTGACTCATCACAGTGAACAGCTGACTACTTCTCTGACTAAGCACATAACTGTGGTCAAATCTGAGGAAACTATGAAACAAAGTCTTGAAAATAACCTTAGTACCACTGATTCTGCACATCACACCAACAGCTCCAATACATGTGAAGACAAGGATTCAAGCAAGCAACAGAAGAAGAGGAAAGATCTTAAGACCCCTCACAGCTCTCAGAGAGGGCAGTCTCCAACTGCAAGGGAAAATTTGGGGATTGACCCAAGGGCCAAAAAGAAGTTCAGACCCAGCAGGTTTGAAAATATTGATGGACAAAGGAAAAATGAGCTTCCCAATGACTATCCAGTGCTTACATCAGTCAAGGATGACACAGTCAGTAACAAAATTATCCCCAAGCATAAAGTAGGGTCATCTAATCTGGGCCTTCACCTGAAGAAAGGTTCTGTTGATAGTTTCTCGCCAAAGAAGGTTGAGACTGTACGTCACTTCACCGGAGATTGCAAAGGGAAAAAGAACATTCCTAGGAGACCCATCCATTCCCCGTCTTCCAGGATCTCCACCATGAACAATTCATTTAACAAATCACGGTCCAAGCCAGGGGTCAGATCCATAGAAACTCACTCATACCGTACTGCAGAGTCACAGAACAACCTCCTCAGCCAGCTGTTTGGCCAAAGACTAACTAGCTTTAAAATTCCTTTAAGGAAGGACACTTCTGAATCAATTAAGGATTAAATGAATGCTATTAACGAGGAAGTAATCAAGTGATCCACTAGGCAGTGTATTCATGAGACTTGGATTGTACGGCCCTCCTCTGTGAAATAATTTAACTCCTCGTTTAGTCACTTTATTGTATTCCTCTTGTAAATGTGTATTTACGTATATGTGAAGACCAACAACAAAATGTATGAATATAGGATGAATATGTTGGTTACAAATTTATTTTCTCTATTTTATAGTGAAGCATTATCTCTAAGAGACTTTATTTCAGCAACAACAAAGAAAGGTTTTTGGGAAAGAATTTACTTGAAAATGAACTGAGAATATTTGTTTTCCAAATAATGCATGACACTTTAACATTACATGTTCTTAGATGTTTTCCTAGCAACAGGACCAAAATACAGTCTAAGTCTGAATCATGTCAATGTGCTTTATTTTATTTTATTTTATATGCTTCCGAGAATTACTCCTTCATACTCTTTTACTTTACTGTATTGCGGAGACACTCATTAGTATTAGCTTTTGTATCATCACTAATTGGTGCTATGTTATTTTATAATAATTATTTCTTGTGTAATGTGAACACAATGTCTAATAACTGAAGGGAACATGTAGCAATTACACTCAATCAATCATTGCTGGTACTCAGTTTTAGAGGAAAATACACAAACACACTGTGTTAAGATGAATTAAAAAGAGAAAGGGTTTATGCGTGTCCTAATTTGATCGGTTCAGAGGAGGGCAAGGGAAAAGCCTTTTCCAAAACTGTATTTAGTTTGATTTCATCTATAATATGATATGAACTCAGGTGCTATTATTGCGCATGAAACCCTTACGAATTCTTCCCATGCACTGATGTTACCATACACAAACCCCACACATGATCATCTATATGTCCCCCCAGTTCTTTAATAATGACTATTTACAAGAACAAAAGGTGCTTTTTCATGTTTATATGTATCTTATATTGTATGATATTGTAGGTTGATTATTTCCAGTGCAATGCATAAATGTCAAAGTTCTATTTTAATAATGTGCAAAAGATGAAGAGCAAAATACAAAGCCTACTAAAGGCTTATGAGTGGATCACAAAGTGCATCGTATAAACTTGGTTATTAAATTTTTTTTGCATCAAGTCTTTGACATTCTGGTGGTTTCCTTATTGCATGCTGTGGATCTGTCAAAATGAAAGTGTGCTTAAAACTTCTCACAGTACAATGTGAAGTGTGCAATAAGAAATGGAGAGTACAAGGTGTTTTTATTTTAATCAGTCAAGAACTTCACTGTATCCTTTGAATTCACTTTTAATAATCACTTAAATTGACATTCACAATGAAAATGTGAAGATCATAGAGCCATCAAGGGTTGGCAACCTGTTTTTAGTATGGAGAATGACAGCTTTGATCCGGACAAAGACATGTCATCTTCAAAAGCAATTGTGCAACGAATCTCTTATCTGAAAAATAAGGTGGACATTGGGCTCCAAAACGAAGACCACTAGTAAAAATGCTTGTATTTTGCTTAAGATTGCTTAAGTTTTTTCTGCTTAAGTTTGTTGAATAAAACCTGATGATTAAGTTATCTTAGCATCTCAAATGTCAGAAACTCGCTTATTTGTTTCACTCATTTCTTGTAAAGTATCTCAAAATCCTTATTCTTCATTTTTTTCCAAGTTTAAATTAGATTTTGAATCCCATTCCAGTATGGTCTGACTTTTGAACCCCGTTGTGTATATGCAAATTTTAATTCCTAAATCTCTTAATTGGTTTTAAATAGTTTTCCATCCAGTAACTCCACACTATGATCTAATGGCAATAAGTCTAGAGTAAACAGTACTGACTTTGCTCAAAAACAAATGGCACATCATTAATCATTTATACACCATTGCACAATAATAAGATCTTACCGTTGAAGCAAATGCACATCAAAACAACAGGAAATAAAGTTGAACCGTTTGACTAACTTTAATTTGTTGTTCAGAAAAGGACCGACAGACAAATCCTTTCAGGCCGATTTATCACTTTGTGTTTAGTGGCTTGTATCCCTACATGAGCCTTATTCACCTTCACATAGGAATAAAAAGCCATAAGACACAACAGCTGTAATGGGAGCGCCACAGTGACGGTGGCTTCGACTCCTTGGCTTTCAACAAAGACGTATAGGGACCCGTATTGGAAGCATCTGGTAGAAGAAAGAGAGGAAGAAAAAGGATTGATAACTTTAAAAAGGAGATGACAAAGCTAAACAGGCAGAAAGATAGATATGCTAGTGTGAAATTGATATTATGATCTTAGCTATCAGAGGCATTCATAATCTGTCACAGTAAGCGTCAGGAGCAAGACGGCTATATTTCAGTGAGGTCTAATGCATTAATCAATCATACCATGTGATGCACAATAAAGCGTATGTAGCCGTGAATCTTGTAATTGCCACTGATTACTCTTGGGTTTAAGCAAAAATGCTGCGAAACTCATGATTAAATGTTAATTTAATTATGCAAACAGTGATTAGTTCATTTATTCGGAGCAAATTTTACCACAATGGAAGGTGCTCATTAAACTATAAGTGAAAAGCAACTGATTACTAATGCGTGAATTTATATGCAAATTTAAAAAAAAAAAAAAAAAGTGTCACAAATGGTCAGGGAAGCTGATTTGCATTATTGACAATCACTCAAGGAAACAAAACCCTAACTTTTCATTGCATTTTTCGTGCTGTTTGTTGGTGCCAAGCAATAATTGTACATCTTGTCAGGGCTGTTCTGATCATTTCATCTTTGAGCAAAATCTCCAGGGAGACAGCACAGCTTTGCTCTTTGAAGTGGAGTGACATTATCACTGGCTGGCCCTGAAAATAGCATCAGTTTCGCCATACTGCCACTCACAGAGGGCTGAAGATCAGGGCCAGATAGAAATGGGCGACTGGTCAGCGGTAATGACATGGAGTCTAAAGGGAACAGAGGCCATCTTCAATCTCACCTTTCAATCCCAGCAACCCTCAGTCCCCATTCAGCAGCGTATAGTGCCACTCACTGATGGAAAATTACTAGGAATTCCATCACATTGGCCCAATGTCAGAGATGGAGAGTGACAGCGGGAGAAAAAATGATAAATGTGACTATTTGGTTCGGGGAGAGCTTTCGAGCTCCCCATGCCACAACACTAGATTTAATCAGGGGCTGTGGTGTGTGTGTGTGTGTGTGGGGGGGAGGGGGGAAATGGGCGAGTCATTTAGCTGTTAATTTATGGCTCATTTGGGGGAAAATACCAGGCTGTCATCCATTTACATCATAATGAGTAAAGATGATTTGATGAGAAGGTTCCCTAGTGCTGGAAAACATGAAATGCAACGCAGGTAATTCCTTCAATGGAGGATGCCCATGTGTAAACCCAGCCCATTCTCACCCCCAAGGCGTCACTTAACTGACGCCTTGGGAAGCATTTGGACATGCTTCAATATCTGACGCTTTAGGCGCCCTTTAGCGTCAGTAAAATGACGCCCTAGGATCGCGTGTACCCTACCCCCACACCTAAACCTAACCGCGTCCTCTAACAGACGCTTTCCTTTAGCGTCAGTTAGATGACGCCGTAGGATCGCGTCATGTAAGTGACGCTAAAGGGCGCCTAAAATGTCAAATATTGAAGCATGGTCAAAGGTGACGCCTTGGGGTGAGAATGCGTTGGTAAACCAGCATGAGTTATGATTGTGAATTGTCAGGATCAAGGGCATAAATGAAAAGCCATCACGTAAGCCAATACAATACCAAACAAAGGACAGCCTTACAAATCGAAATCAGCCCTACATCAGCATTTGAGTTGGTCTGATTTCCAAACCATTACTGTTTTATGAATATGAAACAAAAAATAATTGGATAACACTTTTTATGATGACTGCATATATAACAATTCATTAGAAAACTATTTGTAATGCTCTAATGCCTAATAGTGTAATTAATCATTTGTATGTTCTGGTAAATTAACCCACATATATTCCATTATAATACACATATTTTATATTTTTTTTCCAATGGATAATGGTATAATATTAAGATTTATGTCTAATAATTTAATGGCGAGTGAAACAAAATTCCTAAAACTAATATAACATGTTAATGCAATACTCACTTCACTGAAAAAAAAAAATATGTTCATGATTTTAATCACAATCAAATCAACTTAAATAATTAATGTGGCGTAGATAACATATTTTTTGAGTTTCTGAAGATTAAATCAATCTCCTTCATTGTATTAACTCAATTTTTCCATTTCAATGAACTTAATTTTAAGGCAACCAGGTTACTTAATTTTTTTTTTTTCGTTAAACCAATAATATTCTTTTACAGTGTATAATTAGTGCATAATAAAGTAATGCATTTTACATTACACAGCTGTCAGTATCATAAAATGTGATTCATGGGCTTCATGTGTTAATTCAATATAACTTTTTTTTTTTTTTTTTGGAAAATTAACCAAATTTTAAAACTGTAAAAATGCTACAGTACAACTTTTAATCATCTACTATAACATTATATGAATTTTGCAAGTAAAAAAAAATATATAAATTGCCATATAATTTACAATGATAGGTTGTGTACATTAAGTTGACCATGTGAACCATCTACATGCGAGTATTGGCCATGTTTTATTGAAGATGAATTGCTATAATGGGATACATAATTGTTATTATGGTAGTTATCAGTAACATAAATAGAAATACTGTTATAAATCATATAATGCTTCAAAACATAAGCAGTCTTCATAGAAAGTGTGACCAAAGATTGTTTTCACAGCTCTACCTATATCTGATCCTCCGTGCTTCATGAGCTTTAGATTCGCATGTCAGCATGAGAGAAACACGACTGTGGTAAAGACAACAAAAGTGACGGTCCCTGCGCAGTCAAACTGCTCCTCAATGTTTCATCACAGGGCTTTGAAAGGCACATCTGAACTGGTGCCACAATCTCGAGTAGTCTCGCAGGTCGCATTAGACCTGCTGTCAGCACTTGCAGCAACAAACCAAGGTAAACAGAGTCCTTGATCTTCTCAAAGCGGAGCAAGAGAACTTGAGTGCATGTCTTTCATTTCAAAACATGCAGTTGAAGAGACCATGTAGTGGCACACAGTTCACTCAAGGTCTTGCTTTAAAGTTCTACATAGATTTTAAAATGATTGCGGCTGCCCCCAAAACAAACCAGGTGTATATGAGGCCGCGTGACCTCTGAGATTGGGGTGACTGCAAAGTAGACAGCGAGCACCGTCTCCGTAATGAGCTGCCGCCCCTGACACCATCATCTAGCATCGGTTGCGCATTTAGATTGGCCGAGGTACGAGTTGATGAGCTCTCAAATTGTTCCCGTGGAAAGTTCAGTGGAAAACAAGTCTTAAGCCTGGGGGTAAAACTCAATTAATTATTAATGTGATGTGTCATGAAGAACAGGATAAGACTCGAAGGGAAATGCTAAACACCTCAAAGCTAAAATAATACCTCCGCTTCGGTTCCCAGTGATTTGCAATACAATTAAAAACTCAATTTGAAAGGTGTGCGAGTTATTAATTCGCATTTGGAAAAATGGCCGTTTAGGGCCATCAGACATTTTTGGCTTGTTAGCAGTGCGGTTTATTCTCCTCCCAGAGGTAATATGTCATACTTCATTAATTCTTAATAGACATAGCCTGAAACAGTGCAACTATTCATGTTTCAACACTGCTACATCCTCTCCTTAACTGTCATTCCCCCAAGGCATCCCCCCCGCCCCCCAGTGTAGAAAGCTGTAGAGCAGTTTGCGCGTGTGTCTGAGCGTGTGTATGTGTGAGATATCGCTATTGACAAGGGTATAGCCCACTAACAGACCACTTAAAATGTCAGGGAATTTAACTGTCGGGCAGCTCAGAAGCGACACGGGCCGGGGCGGTGGCATATTTGATGGTAAATCCCAGAGCTGGTTGTGACTCACTCAGATTAGCGATGTGATTCAGGGTACACGCTAAACTACTGAAGACAGGCTGACTTTTAATTACTTCAATTACAAAAATTGAGAATTTTAGAGTGAATGAGAAGCTATTGATGAACAAACACCGCCGGCTCAGATTAGAAACACATTCGGCATGCTAGATAAACAGTCCATAACTGGGGTAAAAAACAAC